TACTCTATACTTCCATGAGACCCACTTTCTTTTTTTTAAGATTCCACATATGAGTGATATAATATGGTATTTGTCTTTCTGTGCCTGATTTACTTAACATGAAAGTTTCTAGTTCCAGCCTTGTTACTGAAAATGATAGGATGTTATTTTTTTAAATAACTGAGTAGTATTCCATTGTGTATATATATCACAGTTCATTTATCTGGTGATGGACATTTAAGTCGATTCCATCTCTTAGCTATTGTGAATAGTGCTGCAATGAACATGGGAGTGCAGATGTCTTTTTGATATATTGATTTCATTTCCTTTGTGTATATACCCAGTAGTGAGATAGCTGGATCATAGGGTAAATTTTTAGTTCTATTTCTGGGTCTATTTTTAGTTCTCTTAGGAACCTCTATACTGATTTCCACAGTGGCTGTACCAATTTACACTCCCACCAGCAATGCAGGAGAGCTCCTTTTTCTCTGCATCCTCACCAGCATTTGTTATTTTTTGTCTTGTTGATAATAGCCATTCTAACTGGAGTGAGATGATATCTCATTGTAGTTTTAATTTGAATTTCCCTGATGAGTAGTGATGTTGAACATTTTTTTTTATGTGTTTGCTGGCTATTTGTATGTCTTCTTTTGAGAAATGTCCGTTCAGGTCCTTTACCCATTTTTAATTGGGTTATTTGGTTTTTTGCTGTTGACTTGTTTAAGTTCCTTATACATTCTGCATATTGGTCCTTTGATGTGTGGTTGGCAAACACTTTCTCTCATTATGTAGGTTGTCTCTTCACTTTGTTTATGGTATCCCTTGCTGTGTAGTAGCTTTTTAGTTTGGTGTAGTCCCATCTATGTATTTTTGCTTTAGTTGCCAGTGACTTTGCAGTCTCATTCAGAAAAGTGCTGCCTACTCCCATTTCATGTGGCATTTCACCCATGTTTTCTTCTAGTAATTTCATAGTTTCAGGTCTTAAATTCAGTTATTTGATCCATTTTGAGTTGATTTTTGTGTATGGTGAGAAATAGAGGCCTAGATTCAATATTCTGCATGTGGATATACAGTTTTCCCAGCACCATTTGTCGAAAAGGGTGTGCACCTTCATCAAAAGTAAGTTGGCTGTAAGTGTGTCGATTTATTTCAGGGCAATTTATTCTATTCCGTTGGTAAATTTGTCTGTTTTTATGCCAGTATTATGCTGTTTGGGTTAGTATAGCTTTATAGTATATTTTGAAGTCAGGAAGTGTGATGCTTTCAACTTTGTTCCTTTTGTTCAAGATTGCTTTTGCTATATGGGGTCTTTTGTGATTCCATACAAATTTTAAGATTGTTTTTTCTATTTCTGTGAAGAATATCACTGGTGTTTTGATAGAGATTGCATTGAATGTGTAGTTTGCTTTAAGTAATATGGACATTTTGATGAAGTTAATTCTTCCAACACAAGAACATGGGATATCTTTCCATTTATTTGTGTCCTCAACTTTTTTCACTGTTTAAAGTTTTCATTGTAGAAGTCTTTCGCTTCCTCGATTAAATTTATTCCTAGGTATTTCATTTTTTTGGTAGCTATTGTGAATGGGATTACTTTCTTGATTTCTTCTTTTGCTATTTCATTGTTTGTGTATAAGAAGGCTATTGCTTTTTGTGTGTTGATTTTGTGTCTTGTCACTTTACTGAATTCATTTATTAGTACTAGTAATTTTTTGGTGGAGTCTTTAGGGTTTTCTATGTATAGGATTTTGTCATCTACAAATAGGGATAGTTTGACTTCCTCCTTTCCAATTTGAATGTCTTTTATTTCTTTCTCTTACCTTATTGCAAGTTATTGCACTTGCTAGAACTTCTAATACTATGTTGAATTAGAGTGGAGATAGTGCTCATCCTTGTCTTGTTCCTTTTTAGAGGAAAAGCCTCCAGCTTTTGTCCATTCAGTGTAATATTAGCTGTGGATTTGTCATATATGGCCTTTATTGTGTTGAGGTACATTCCTTCTTTACCTAATTTCTTAAGTGTTTGTATTATGAACATGTGTTGGATTTTATCAAATGCTTTTTCTGCATCTATTTAAATGATCATATGTTTTCTTCCTTCATTCTGTTGATGTGATGTATCATGTTTATAGATTTGTGTATGTTGAACTTTCCTTGCATCCCTGGGATGAATCCCACTTGATCATGGTGAATGATCTTTTTAATGTGTTGCTGGATTCTGTTTGCTAGTGTTTTGTTGAGGATCTTCTTCACATATGTATTCATTACAGATATTGGTCTGTAGTTTTCTTTTTTTGTTGTGTCTTCTTCCAGTTTTAGTATGAGGATAATGCTGGCCTAGTAGAATGAGTTTAGAAGTGTTCTCTTTAAGTTTTTGGAAGAGTTGGTAGAGAAGACTTGGTATTAGTTCTTCTTTGAATGTTTTGTAGAATTTGGCTGTGAAGCCATTTTGTCCTGGGTTTTCTTCGCTGGAAGACTTTCTATTACTACTTCAATCTCATTACTTATTATTGTTTTGTTTAGATTTTCTAATTCTTCATGACTCAATTTTGGTGAGTTGTGTGTTTCCAGGATGGGAGACTTTTTATTATGATTCAGTCTCTTTACTCATTATTGGTCTGTTCCGATATCCTATTTCTTCATGATTTAATCTTGGTAGGTCATATGTGTCTAAGAATTTCTTAATTTCTTCTATGTTATCCAATTTGTTGGTATATAATTGTTCATAGCACTCTCTTATGACCCTTTTTATTTCTGTACTGTCATTTGTATGTGTTCAAATATTTTGCCCATTTGTGAGGCACGAATAAACTTTGTTTTTGTTTTCTTGCATATGGGTATCCAATTGTTCCAGCACTATTTCTTAGAAAGTCTGTCCTTTCTCCACTGAATTGTCTTTTTACCTTATTTAGAAACTAATTGGTCATATATGCATAGTACTGTTTTTGGATCCTTCTTTAAATTCTGTTTGTCTCCACGTCTATTCTTTCTCCAATATCATACTCTTGATTACTATAGCTTTATAGTAAGCCTATAAATCAAGTATGTGAGTCCTATAACTTTGAAAAGAATGTGTATTCTGCTGTTTTTGTGTAGAGTCTTCTTTAAATATCAGTTAGCTTAATTTAGTTAACAAAATGCCATTTATGTCTTTCATATCCTTGGTGAGAGTTTATTCACTTTTTCTGTCAATTTCTGAGATAGTATGTTGGAGTTTCCAAGTGTATTTGTGGATTTGTCTATTTCTTTTTTCAGTTCTACCAGTTTTTGCTTCATGTATTCTGAAGTCCTCTTGTTAGGTGCACATTTACATTTATTATGTAATTTGGGGGAATTGATTCCTTTATATTAAGTAATATTCCTCTTTATCCTTTTTCTGAAATCTACTTTGTCTGATATTAATATAGCTATTTCTGCTTTCTTTTGATTAGGGTTTGCATAATATCTCTTTTCTATCAATGTATTTTTTTAACCTATTTATGTCTTTATATTTAAAATGAGTATCTTGTACATAGCATATACTTTGTTCTTGATTTTTGATCCAATCTAATGATCTTTAATTTTAATTGATGGTTTACAAAGTTTACATTTAAGGTAATTATTGACGTAATTGGATTAAAAACCACCACATTCTGAGCTGCTTTATTTTTTAAACCTCTTATTTTGTTTTTGCTCCTTTGCATTTTATTTTGATTATTCCATTTTATCTCTGTTATTGATTTATTATTGATTTTTCTTTTAAATAATTATTTTACTCATTACCCTAGGCTACACAATATACTCATACATGTTTAATTAATCTACTTTTGAGTAATATCATACTACCTTACCTGTAGTATAAAGACTTATCAACGGTATTTTTCCAATTTCTCCCTCCTATTCTTTGTGCTATTGTTATATATTTTACTTTTACACATGCTGTAAACACAATGAATTGTTAATATTTTTGCTTTAGATAGTTACCTTTTAAGGCAATTTAAAAAATAAAGAAAAATGAATTTTATATTTACCTTCACTTATTTCATTTCTAGAGCCCTGTACTTTTTTGTGTATGTCTTATCTTACCAAAGTTTTAAAAAAATGTGGTAAAAGGTTTTTTTAACTATTAGCTTTTACAACATACCAGTCCCCAACTTCTCTTGGCGCTATTAAAATTTGATGTGCTTAAATAGTTGGAAATGTATTTGATTTTTATAATTCTTTGTGCTCACTTAGAATTTCAGAACCGTAGGACTGAATATGTTATGAGAAGTCCTTTGGCCTAATCTTGAAAGTCTGACTAATTTATTTCACACTGACCTTATTTTAAGATGTTTATGGGAGTTCTCTTTCTGAAATTGAATCTCATGCCTTTTTGGTCTGCAAGTTCCTTTTTGTCTCTCTCTCTTTCTGTTACTCTATTAATGTGTGGAGTGCGAGCATTCAGACCATACTGTCGTGCTTTGTAATGCTGTCTTTTTAGTAACCCTGCGCAAATATGAAGATAATTATTGAGTCCCTTCTTCCTATTCTCCTTTACAAGTTAAAAAAAAAAAATTAAGTAAGAAAGAAAGAGATCCCCAGCTCCCCTGCCAAGTACTGGAAATAAGGACTGTTCTGACCCTAATAACAGAGTGATGAACTTAAACCCTCTCCCTGAAGACATATGGCTTATTTTAATCCAGACGTGTACCTCTAGGAAAGCTCTGGGATTCTGAAATTGGGTGGGTATCCTCCAGGAACTATATTAACCTGAGGACCTGATTTATTCTAGAGCCTACTGAATGCAAAGCCCTGGGTATGTTACCTGTGTAGGGATAGGGCAGGAGGAAAACAGCAGGCTAGAAAACGTAGACTTTTCTGAGCAACCTGTATTTAGTTGTGAGAAAAAAAGTACTCTTGATGGCTAGGGCCAGTCCTGTACTAGAACTTACAAACACTTGTCAGTTATGAGGGTAACTGCAAGAGACACTTATTTCAGGCTTTCCCCTTTAATTCATGTCTAAAGCATAACATTTTCTTTTTGTCTTTTTCCCCCTCAAGGGGTGCTACATCCATTGTGTACAGATGCAAACAGAAGGGGACGCAGAAGCCTTATGCTCTCAAAGTGTTAAAGAAAACAGTAAGTTTATTTCATTATATAATAGCATCTCTAAGGGACCAGTAACCTGGAGAAGTTGGGAACCTGACTCAAGGGACAAAGTTCCAGAGAGCTGCCATATGCAGTTGACTCCTTCTAATCTTGATTTTGAGAGTGCAACCCAAAAGGTTGTTGTCTGGTGGAAACTGTGTTGCTCTTTGAAAGCAACTGGATCTCAGCTTGGATATGGTTGTGGGGAGAAGTGTGGAAAAGAAAATCATTTAGAGCTGGCAGGTAAACCTTGCTTTTTATATCAGCCATGTTGTTGGAGATATATCTATGTCTGTCTCTATGAGTGTGTGTATATATACATATATATTACATTTCAATATTTAAATATTAAAATCACATCTTAATATGCTAGAAAAGCTTGTTTAAAAGAAGCTGAAATGAAACACCAATATATGTATTTGTGAAAGGAGTTGTCACTTGTCATTTGCCTAGATTTTCAGATGTTGGATTTGCTTCAGCCAAGTACAACAGGACAAATGCCAATGTTGCTGGGACTGAACCTACTCATCTAGAAGTTTGTATTTGGACAAGAAGGAAGGATTTTGTTTTAGCATTGTTTCTTTTGCCCTATACTCACAGATGAGGTGAGGAGGCAAAAGTGTCTTTTGCTCATCTCTAATGACTAAGAAATGCGGCAGGTGAGAGTTCAGAATATAAGTGCGAGCACCTGGGTAATACACTCTGCATCCCAGACAGCATTTTGTCACTTTAATGCCCCACTTGCACTTTCAGTCCTTACGTTGTTTCTGCTCATAAAACCACAACAAAACGAGATATTTTATACCACATTCTTCCTTTGTCAAATTTTATGTGAAGTATACATATTTCTGAAAATCCAGTTGTAAAGTATGCTAAGGAGAGAAGTATCATAAATTTTGAAATCAAGTGATACCATTTTTAGGCCAAGGAATTTTTCCCCCTCAAGGCAGCTTAATATCACCAGCTGTTTATGTGTTGTCTGGCACAAGGAAATTTTAGAATCGCATATAATGAAGAGCATACCGGCACAAGGTTTTCAGTCGAGTAGAAATAGAATGACATTTTGAAACAATCTGTTTGAATTTAAAGCTGTAGCCAAACAACAAAGACAATTTAATTGAAATAGGTAATAATTTAAATGGCAATTTTTACTAATAAACTCTTATTCTGAATTTCCTGTTTGGTATAGGAAATGACTAAAATTATTCCAGAATGTAGAGGAATTTTTTGATTGATAAGGTTTGGAATTTCCCTGAAATCAATTCCTTATAAAATTTATCTGAAAATTTATTTGAAGTAAAGATTATTATATATTGTATGAAATAGAATTTCTTACTAAATATCTTTTTATGAAAATAAATTGGCATGCTTTAGCAGTAGTCACATGCAAGATATTTTTGGTATCTTCTTTAAAAAATTATCGGTAAAATTTGAGTGTTTTTTTTTTTCAGAGTTGAGAAAACTTTGAAAGGGACTAGATATATGAAAGTCTAGGAAATAAACGTTTAGACATGAGAATGCTCAAGAATCCCAAAGGACAAAGGCTAGTTTAGAGACTATTGGTTTATGCCAGAAATCTTTGGACGAATTGGAATAAGAGGTAGGTGAAGATATTTGGTGGGTTCGTGACTCATATTGATGGGAAAGTACAGCTCTGGTTCCCCTTCACTGTTGTCTCTTCTCTACCTCTCTTGTGAAAGTGTCTGCCTCAGAAGACAGGCGGGAGGAGAATGTGGACGGGAACCAAGTGTCAGATGGAGCTGCGGAGTGGTGCTGTAAGGCAGATGTTGTCAGACACAGTTACTGCTGTGCCAAATGGAATGAGAGAAAATCCCCTGGAGAAACCTCAGCTTTGAATGTAAATTAGATGGAATCCCCAGTATTGTCTCCTAGGATAAACCATGCACAGAGATGTGTAAATGAGAGAAATAGCAGGCAGATCCTCAAAGATCAATTGCCTCTACTGTTTAATTCCATACAGGTCATGGAGACTGAAACTTCCTTATCTAAATGAAATGAATGAAGCCTAAGAATCTATTTATAGAGGGAAAGTGATGCAGGAGAAATATTTTCTTAGAGAATTCAGTCACAGGTCTGTTCATGAGGGGAAAAGAGGGTTTCAGAAAGCCTGAATTATTTACGTTATCTACTAGGCTGAACCACATAAAATTACCATTTTGTATCTACAAAAATGGCATTTTTTGTGGTTCACCTAACACCTTTAGGAACACTATACTACTTCACCAGACAGTTTCTCGGGTCCTCATTTTATGACTAGACTTAAACCTAAGAGGCCTGAAACTTAATCTGTCTGTCTGTCTATCATCTATCTGTCTATCTATGTTAGTTTTCTAGGGCTGTTGTAACAAAACACCACAAACTGGTTGACTTTTTTTTTTTTCCTTTTTGTCTTTTTTACTGACCGGTAACGGGATCACAACCCTCGGTGTCGCACCCGTATCGTGGACCGGCAACGGGATCGCAACCCTCGGTGTTGCGCCCGCACCTCGCTCAGCCAGTGAGCGGGAACCGGTCTCCACATGGGATCTGAACCCTCAGCAGGAGCTCCGCTGCACTCCCAAGCAGCGCACTCTCCAGTGCGCCACCAGGCCGGCCCGAAACTGGTTGACTTAAAACAACATAAATTTATTGTTTCAAGCTCTGGAGGCTTCCGCTGCACTCCCAAGCAGCGCACTCTCCAGTGCGCCACCGGGCCGGCCCGAAACTGGTTGACTTAAAACAACATAAATTTATTGTTTCAAGCTCTGGAGGCTAGAAATCTAATATCAGAGTGTTGGCAGGGTTAGTTCTTAATGAGAGCTCTGAGGGAGAAGCTGTTCCTGCCTCTCTCCTAGATTCTGGTGACAGCCAACACCAGGTATGTGAAATATGTCATCCAGGCATTCCTTGACTCTCACCTCTGCTTCGGTGGTCGGGTGGCCCTCTTCTCCCTGTGTGTCTTCACATCTTCTTCCCTCCGTGTATGTCTGTATTCAAATTTCCCTTTTGTAAGGACAACAATCCTATAGGATTAGTGGCCTGCCCTGAATAGGAGTAACTTTTTAACTTTTTATTTTGAGATAGTTACAGATTCACAAGAAGTGCCATTTTTTGTTGACCATAAACACCTCATTACCTTGCACATAAGAACTAACTGGCTTGAAATTATGGAACTTTTACTATGAACTTTGTAAATCATGAATCATAACTTTTTCTTTCATGCATGAGTTCTTCATCTACTCCTTTGTATGTGATATTTAGAAGGCATTGAAGTCTTAGAGTAGAAAGATTTTACTAGGCTACTCCCTCAGGTTAAAGACAGAGGCATTAAAGGATTCTGACAGACATAGCTAGTGGGACAACTAGTAATTTACAAGATGGAACCATTTCACTGATATTACATGACTTGGATATGCCAAACTTAAAACTTCACAAAAGGAAAAAATAAATAAGTTCAAGAAAGTATCAAAATTTGGACAAATTAAGCAAATGGAACCTTCAACCTGAACTAAGTTTTCCTGATTAAATGGGATCACAACTTTGGAAGACTAAAGTGGTGATAATGGCGTCACTATATTAGGAGTGATTCACATGAGTCATACTTTACCTTTCTTCCTCAGGACTACATACCACAGGATGTATCTAAATGATCATACTTCAGCCCATAAATGTGGCTCATTTTCGAGAAGAGCTGATTGAGATTTACGAAAATTATGCTCACCAATAATTTATAGTGCCTCTGAAATTTATGAGCCTAATATTTGAATTCCGGAATTTAAATGAAATTTCTAGCTATGTAGCTCGACTCTTGGAAAATATTGCATTTATCTAACTATAAAATCCATGCCTCTCATAAAATACTCAGTATTGAGTCTCAGTGTGTAAACTCAGAGTTTATGGGTATTCTGACTCTCTGTAAAAATGGCTGTGCAGTAGTGGGGTGAGATCACAGTCTCTAGGCCAGACAGAGTGAGTTTGGGATCACTTCTGCAACTTACTATCTGTAAAACTTTACAAATTATAGAATCTCTCAATCTCAGTTTCTTCATCTGTAAAATGGGTTTAAGAACATCTAGCTCACAATATTCAAGTGAAGATTAAAACAAGATAATTTATATAAAATATTTTCCAGCACACGGGAAGCATGTAATAAATAGTAAACATTATTCTTATTACTAACTGGAATGAGTCCACACAGATATTTTCTAAAAGTAGTAACAGTTCACTCTATGCAATTTTAATGCCCTCATTAGCTTGATTTAAAATAGAGCACTGAGTAACACCCGTCTATTATCATGCACTTATGTATAAATAAATTAATTATATTGTTTTTAGAGTGCTTTAAAAATTACTACCAAAAATGGGTATGTTTTTCTTTTGTTATCAACAACATTTTTTTTTTTTAAAAGATGACCGGTAAGGGGATCTTAACCCTCGACTTGGTGTTGTCAGCACCACGCTCAGCCAGTGAGCCAACCAGCCATCCGTATATGGGATCCGAACCCGGGGCCTTGGTGTTATCAGCACCACACTCTCCCGAGTGAGCCATGGGCCAGCCCGTTATCAACAAAATTTAATGTGGCACTCAGTAAAGATTTCTGGTGGTATGATCCCCTACTTAGGCAAATCTTGGATGCCCGTGATACCTAGATAGAACACTTTCAACCCTAAAGCTCTTTTCTGGTTCTTGCCCTTGGAACAGTGTGCCTAGATCCACACTACAGAAGCAGTTCCAGGTTTATTTTTGTCACATTTTATTTATAAAAATATAAAGTTACCTACAAATTTATGGAAAAGCTTTTCTTGAGTAATCTAAGTTTTCTGTGTTAGTTTGGCCTTTTATCTTTTCCCCAGTTAGTTATAGAATGACACATTGTGATTTGCTAATCATTCTATGCATTAGTTTTCAATTTCCATTCATTTTTCCTTTCATTATTATGAGTTAGCAGTTGAGTATATAACTATGATGTTGCAGGGGAATTTGAAAAGTT